AGAGCAGGAGAATTGCTGGGAAACTATAATTAAAAACAAAATCTCCTCGCAACCCGGAAAACCTCTCCATAAAGGTGGAAGCAAAAGAAAACAGTTTTATTATTGCACAAGTGCAAGCATTCAACCAGAATGTGACACGCACGCCAGGTAATCTGCGAAGAGATTGCAAAGGCAGAAAGGAGGCCTACCTTCTGACCAGCCAAACAGCTCCAAGCTGCTACATACGTGTTCTCACATTAAACAATAACTAGTTTTCAGGGGATGAGTTCTATTTGTCATACATAGTTCATCCTAAAGTCTCCTGGTTATTGGGGTGGCCATCTTTGTTTGCTAATTCCCTTTACCCAAATGAAAAATAATAAATTTATTTCTTTATGACAAGAGGTAGTTTTGCAAGTTGGAGCTGAAGTTAGGCTCCTACCCTTCTCCCGAGACTAGAAGATGGGCAGCTATGTTCCTTGATGATTACCTTTCAAAGGGATGGTTCCCAGGTCCTTGGAGAAAGACATACTTGGGTCCTAAAGTTGGCAAGAGGCTTATTTATCTTTTAAAAAGATTTACATACATTTAAGAGACAGAGAAAGAACTGCTAATTAGGGGTTTCCAAAAGTAAGTGCTCTAGGAAAAGGAAGTGAGATGGGCTGGAAGAGCCTCTTCTGTTTATTTTCAACAGGGAAAATTAAGTCCCTATTTTGGTGGCCGGGTATGGTGGCTCATGCCTGTAATCCCAGCACTCTGGGAGGCTAAGGAGGGTGAATTATTTGAGGTCAGGAGTTCAAGACCAGCTTGGCCAATATGGTAAAACCCCATCTCTACTAAAAATACAAAAATTAGCTGGGGGTGGTGGTGCATGCCTATAGTCTCAGCTACTCTGGAGCCTGAGGCGAGAGAATCACTTGAACTCAGGAGGCAGAGGTTGCAGTGAGCCGAGATCACACCACTGCACTGCAGCCTGGGTGACAGAGTGAGACTCCATCTCAAAAAAAAAAAATAATAGTAATAATTTTTTAAGCCTCTACTTTGTTTGTTTGTTTTAGAGACAGGGTCTTTCTCTGTGGCCCAGGCTAAAGTGCAGTGGTGCGATCTCGACTCACTGCAGCCTCAACCTGCTGGGCTCAAATGATCGTCCTACTTCAGCCTCCCAAGTAGCTGGGACTACAGGCACAGGCCACCATGCTCAGCTAATTTTTAAATTTTTTGTAGAGATGGAGCCTCACCATGTTGCCCAGGCTGGTCTCAAACTCCTGAGCCCAAGATATCCTCCTGCCTTGGCCACCCAAAGCACTGGGATGACAGGCGTGAGCTACCACACCGGTTGTGAACCTCTTATTTTTAGTGTGAATTTATCCTTACCAAATTTAGCTTTGACCTTCATGGGGAGGGGATCGAATGTTTGGTCCCAGCAGTGGGCGTCAACCCATGACATGAGAAAATCCAAAGGGTAGCGGTAGCCTTAAACTTGATTTGATCTTGCAACCTCAGGAGAGAACGAGGGTGGTACAAAGTGGAGCAAGCGCCTTTAGGAGCCTCCAGGGCTTGGGTAGTTTCCGAATTTGACTGGAGTGTTAGTAATGGAGGTGGTCCCTCCACCCAGAGAGCTCCTGAACCCCCACCTTCCTGCTTTTCTGGGCACCCTGTATCCCCCTCATCCCACGGCCAACAAACTCAGTGTCACCTTTGAGCTCTCTGTAGGGGAGGAAGGCTGTTGGGGATGCTGGTCTGGTATGGCTCCTTCCTTCCCTCCCCTTGGCAGCACAGCTTACGGCTTCTGTTCTACTCCAAGTAGACTCTAACCCACTGGAAACTGCGGCCAGTTCTGCAGAAAGTTCAAATCTTTAGGGACTTCATAAATTAGCCTTTACTGCTAAGCTCTCTGGGAAAAAAAGAATTGGGGAGTGGGGGCAGGGGGAGAGGTTGCAAGCTCAGCACAATCAACAGCTTCCTCTTCCCAAACTCTGAGTGTCCATGTTGCAACCAGTCAGAGCAGCGCCATCAGGAAGGGGCCATAGGGGTGGCAGGGTCGATGCAGGGCACGCTGACTGGCCGAGGGGCACTGGGTGACCCTGGGCAGATCAGGGGTGCAGGTGGGAGGGTCAGTGCCAAAGTACAGGTGCTATGACAGCATTTGCTTTGTGTTGGCACATTCTAAGCAGCACCTTGAATTTTTCCTGTTTGAAAGCATGTGGGGTGTGTGCCCTTTTATGTTCATGTTAGGGAATTCAGAGCAGGCTCCTGCATTTCTGCTCATGTGTGTATCTCTGAGGATGTTTTGCTGTTGTCAGTTGTCGTCAGGCCTTCAACTCATTGGATGGAGCCCACCCACATGGTGGAGGATAATCTGCTTTACTCAAAGCCTGCAGGTTTAAATGTTAATCTCATCCAAAACATACCCAAAGAAACACCCAGCATAGTGTTTGGCCAACTATCTGGCACTGTGGCCCAGCCAGTTTGATATAAAATTAACCATCACAGCAAGGGATGCAGGGAAGGGGAGGCAAATTGCTGAGTCCCAAACACTATTTCAGCTGTCCCAGCTCCCTTTATAATGAAACAGGACTCAAATGGAGCAATGGATGGATGGGAGGATGGAGATGGATGGGCAGATAAATGGATGGGAAGATAGATGAATGAGAGGATGGAAGGGAGGATGGATGGATGGAAGGATGGATGATGAGTGGATGGATGGAAGGATGAATGATGAGAGGATGGATGGATGGAAGGATGGATGATGGGAGGATGGATGGATGAACATAGACAGATGGGTGGATGGAGAGGTGTCTAGTAGGTGGATAATAGACAGGGATAGACAGACACTAGTAGTGGCAACTTTTCAGACACCATTTGATGGAAATTTTCAAAAACACAAAACTGGAGAATGACAGCACAAAGGCCAACTGACCCAGCTCTACATTTCCACATGAGGAAAATGACACCCAGAAAAGAGTAACTTCCTCAAGGTCACACATGGGTTAATGGCAGAGATTCTATTGCCTCCTAGCCTGGTTACTGAGATCGGCATAGGAATGAGGTATGCACACTCCAGATCAGGGGAGGCCAAACTGCAGGAGCAAACTACCTTTGGAATTTCAGAGGCCTCGCACCTCCCGGGCTTCTTGCATGCTCACACAGTGCACCAGCTCAGCTTGGAGGACGATCTCTATTCCACATCCTTCCCTGACACCTCAGCATGCGGCCCCTGAGGCAGGAGAAGGGTTGGCATGTTGGGTGCCAGCTCCTACGCTCATCAGCCCAGAAGCAGCATCAGTCACTTTTCTATCAGCCACATGGCCCCTAACTAATGGAAGCGGGTCAGAAAAGTGGGTGGGCACATGGATATTTGATGAGGAATAAAGGTTTCCGCAAAACAGAAGTTTTTTCATCTCTTTGTGGGACTCCATGTTTCCTTTTCTACATTTTCGAACCAAACAAGTTGCCCCAGGATATCTCCAAAACCCAAGAATCTCCTCTGAGCTCCTGGAGCCTCCAAGGAGCCTGACTTAACTTTGCACAGAATGTCCCCCACCTTTCACTATTGTAGAATTTGATGTGTTTTGTGTATGTGAAGGCTGAACCATTTACTGACATTTTTACCTAAAGCACAGCAGCATCGCCCCACTTGGTCTCTCTCTCACTGTTACTCACTCACCTTTAGGATGTTGGCTGTCAGTTTTCAGGCTTTTAAAACTTGTTCCTTCTAGAATGTGGTTGTTAATAAGTCATAAGTTTGTTAATAATTGATCAAGCATTATGACAGTTACAAGAACCTTATAGGTTCACGTTGCTAGAACCCCACAAACTGCTTATTTCCTTTCAGTCTCCTTGCCTGTACTTGTCACAAACTGTCACCTGGAGACAGGCGGGTTTGAATTGCTTAGCTCCTCAATGGCATTAGTAATTAAAGCATTCTTTCCTAATGGCATTGGTGTTCTCTTTCTGTCTTGTTTTGAGATGGGGTCTTACTCTGTCACCCTGGCTTGAGTGCAGTGGTGTGATCAAGGCTCACGGTAGTCTCAGTGTCCTGGGCTCAAGCAGTCTTCCTGCCTCGGCCTCACAAGTAGCTGAGACTACAGGCATGTGCCACCATGCCTGGCTAATTTTTATATCTTTATAGAGACTTGGTTCCACCACGTTGGCCAGGCTGGCCTCAAACTTCTGAGCTCAAGCAACCCACCTGCCTCAGCCTCCCAAAATGCTGGGATTACAGGCACGAGCTGTCACATCTGGCTGGTGTTCTTTAAATAGAGCTTTTTGTTAAAATAACCAAAACCAAAGAATAACAACTATTAATTAAAAATAGGTTATACAGTTAGAGTTAGACCTAAAGAAATACAAACACCTAGGCATAAACCAGTATCCTTATTACTTGTGCTGTCATTCTTTGTTTGGTTTAATCCTTAGGTTTATGTAAAATTAATAGATTCTGAGCCTTACTTTTCTTAGGTGTGTATCGAATCTGGTCAGATTTGTCAAGAGTCCTGGTCTTCAACTTCTTGTGTCTTTTAAGACAGAGTCTCACTCTTGTCGCCCCGGCTGGAGTGCAATGGTGCGATCTCAGCTCACTGCAACCTCTGCCTCCCAGGTTCAAGTGATTCTCGTGCCTCAGCCTCCTGAATAGCTGGGATTATCCCTCCTGATCTTTTATAGCGTCTCACAGGAAGGCTTTAGTTTATTCTGGGCATTTTTGTCTCTGACCTGCAGATAGTAAATAGGGGGTAAATACAGTAACATGTGATAGTGATGTGATGTTTCTAGAATGTTAGAAACTCGTGACTGCCTTTTTCTGAATCACCAGAGAAATTTCCTTACCTGAATTGCTTTGTGAGTTTCTGTTCTCTGCTGAGTGCATTCTCACAACTCTCCACAGAAGGGTCCCTTAGCCATCAGGTCCCTGATAAGGTTAGATTGTAAGCCAACCCTTTATTTTGCCTGACTCTGAAAATCCTGCTCTTTTGTAGGTACAAACCAGGCCGTTCCAGAGCATGACTTTTTTTTTTTTTTAATGAGCAAATCCAAATTTATTTTAATGTCATGTCATTTTCAATGTGTTTAAAAACCTCATAAGTTAGTGGGAGCCCTAGTTTCCTGGGACAGCATGCCAGAGGTACTGAAATGTGTCACCTTTCTCTACAAACCCCCAGCAATCCAATCCAAGTCCATAGCTTCAGAAAGTCAGGAGTTGTATCTTCAGTCAGTCTACTCCTCTGGTTCTTCCTTTTTCTTTCAAGGGAGGGAGATCACAATATTTCAAACAGGGAACAAAACCAGTTGAGCTTCCAGCTCAGGTTTGTGTAAGATGGAGTGAGGGAAGACCCCACTGACTCCAGAGAAAAGGGTAAGGTTGAGATGAATTATTTCTTTACAGCTTTGTGAAAATGGAAGAACAAAGATTTACAAATGAGGATCCATTTCATAGATGAGAATCTCTTCATAAATGAAGGTTCCAACTCCTAAATTGGGAAGGGCCTGACTGGACGGCCTGAATCAAGATGAGGAATCGGCCACACTGAATAAAAACAATCTGAAAAATAATCCTCCTAATTTTGAAGCCAGATAAAATACTTGGGGAAAATGGGAAAAAGAGAGAAAAAGCCCCAAACAGATGGAAAAACGCTGACATCAGAGTGGTATAAAAAATTTCAGCTGAGTTTTCAGTGGCGGTGGCTAATTTAGCCGTGTTCTGTGGTAGGGCTACAAACCTTGACCAAGCAGAAAGTAGTAGAAAAGGCTAGAAAGAGGGGCTTGAAGACGATGAATTTTGACTCCTGATTTTATTATTCAATTTCTTTTTTTCATTTAAAGTAGTCTTCTGTGGTTGGGAAGCCTTGCCTCCCAAGACCAGAGTCAGTTGGAGCTGGTTGTTGTTGGGAGTGGGCCGGGGAACTGGGGTGGGGAGACCCCCTGCTCTGCTGGCGGTCCTCAGTCCCCAGCTTCATTTTCTTCTAATGTTTCCCCACTGGTGGCATTCTCTGCAGTCTTGGAGGCCTTCTTTTTTTTCTTTTTCTGGGTTTTTCGACTTGCAGAACTCTGGAGGAGGGCCTTTTGCTCTGCATCCTGGACCTCCATCTCAGACTTATAGAGGTCAGGCTCAAAGGGACCGCTGGTTATCCGCATGGGGCCATTGGGCATGAGCAGAACTGTAAATTTAAACTGGGCAACAAATTCACCCTCCTTCTCATAGAGAACATTAAATGGTTGCAGCAGTTCATGTTTGGCGCACTCTACCACACCCATCCGAGCCTTCTTCTCATCTTCAGATGCTCTTAAAGTAAATGGCATGGCATCAAAACGCCTTTCCACCTCACTGAAGAAGGCACGTGAAGTTTTCATTTTCAGTCCATACTGTTTAGAGGGGTCTCGTTTGTAAATAGTGGTTCTCTGTCCTGCATCCTTGGCCTTGCCCTCTCCTGAGCTGACGAGAACATCCACAGCATATACTTCATGTACCTCAAATTCAGCTTTTTCATGGTCCTTCTTCTGCTGGTCTGTGGGATTCTGGATAATGGTTTTTTCTCCATCGATGACATGCTGCTTCAACTGGTGTGACAGCATACCTTCTATTGGCGTGCAGTTAAATGAGTGGGCAACTTTGTTCCAGGCTTCTGTCACTTGTGTGTTCTGGTTTCCAGGTTCGACCAAGCGTAGGGCAGCTTCGGCACAAAGGTGAGCTGCCTTAATAACACCTGCTTTCCTCCCGGTTACTTGGGTCCCCTGAGCTACATCAACTACAAAAGTATGAGCTACATTAGCGATGAAGCCATCCACATGGACCCCAAGGTCAATTTTTACCAAGTCACCTTCTTTGAGAATATAATCCTGGTCGCTCTTCAAAGGGGAGAAGTGACATACACAATTATTTACCGAAATGCTGGTGGGAAAAGCAATACCTTTCTTCATTTCCTTTTCTTTCTTGAAGATTTTCCCTGTTTCTTCCATAATCAATCATGGCATCACCTTTCTCACACAGGCTCAGTACCGACACACCTGAGCTAGATGCTTCCACCAAGGACCGAAGTACCCTTGGTCACGACCAGGTCCTTGGTGATAGTTTGCTCCTGCTGCTCGTCCTCGCCCGACATCTTCCTACCACCACCACTGCAGCCTGGTTTCCCCTGAGCCGCCGCCTCTGTCCCCCTTCCCAGCCGCAGGCTGTGGTCAGAGTCCCCTAGGTCCTTGAGGAGAGGGCGAGCGAAAGCGCGAGCAAGCAAAGGAGCGGGCAGGCTGGCGAGAGCGAGAAGCTGCCCAGAACATGACTTTTTTTGCCTTTTTTTTTTTTTTTTGACAGCATCTTGCTCTGTTGCCCTGGCTGGAGTGCAGTGACACAATCTCGGCTCATTGCAACCCCTACCCACTGAGTTCAAGTGATTCTCGTGCCTCAGCCTCCTGAGTAACTGGGATTACAGGTGCACGCTACCATGCCTGACTAATTTTTTTTTGTATTTTTAGTAGAGAAAGAGTTTCACCATGTTGGCCATGCTGGTCTAGAACTCCTGACCCCAGGTGATCTCCTTGCCTCGGCCTCCCAAAGTGCTGGGATTACAGGCATGAGCCACCATACATGGCCCAGTACATGACTTTTAGAGTACTTTTAATCAGAAGTTGACACAGAGACACAAAGTGATTTCTACCAGAGCCCCCATGTGCTCAGCAGGATCCCAGGGGACAGGAAAATAGCAAAGTGCTAAACAAGCTTTCAGTCATTGCAGGTGGAGATTCCTGGAGAGCTGGGTCCATAGCTCCATGACCCAAATGTCACAGAGCTGACTCCATGAGGCGAACTCCCAGCAGCATGGGGTTCATCATTCATGGGCCTGGACCACCTGTGAGCCACACCCTGTTTCCTGAGGTTTAAGCACATGCTGCAAGTCTGAAGCCTCCTGCCAGAAGCCAGGCCTGGTGTCCATTCCCACTTTCTCACCAGGTCACCAAATGCTCTTGCTCATGGTGCAGGAAGAGAGATGGATCTCAGTAGAGCCGCAGAGCCGAGTCCTCCATCAGCCCATGTGGCAAGGAGGATCGGAGAGTCAGGAAGGACCATGCTGCTGGGCTGGGCTGTGTTCTGGGGGGAGTCATTCTCCGGGGGACTCAAGCTGTTAAATCCTGGGTATTTGGGAAGGGCTTGGAGAAGCCTTTGGCATGAATGGAGCTCTCCTCCTTAGTAAGGCTGAACCTAGTTGGTTAATAAAAGTATCCAATGCTGTTCCTACCAACAGTGTCCAAATTATGCTTCAATGCCATGGCCACAGCTGCCCTGGGGGTGGCATGAAAACTGCTTTAGGAACTGCACATGTAGAAATTGTTAACATGTATTGATTGCCTGCTGAAAGCCAGGCTCTCTGTGACACCTTTACTTGATTATCTTATTTTTTAAGACACACAATATTCTCTGTGAAGAGCTTGTTCTGTGAGGGAACAACTAAAGGGAGAAAAATTCAACAGGGGGAGGGTCTTGGTGCTGGGAGGAACTGTCCTAGTGAGTGACCTGCTCCCCACAGTGCAGGTCACTTGGAGAGAAAAGACCCTGCCCTCTCAGGCACCCTCTCCATCTCCCCATGCCTCCTCCACCCACCCAGTGCCAGGGCAAACTGAGCCGTCTCTAACCCAGGCTGTGCCCAGGCCAGCTTAGCTTCAGAAGACAGTGCTCACTGAGCACTGTGCTACGTGCTTATCCTTCCATGATGTTGTTTTGTCGTCACTGTCATCCTATGATGGAGGAGAATGTTTTCGCCCCTCCTCTACCCTGAGGCATGAGGAGGACAAAGGCTTGCTCACGATTCTGTAGCTAAACCCTGGCAGAGCCAAGTTCTACTCACGTTCAATCTGACTGTCACCCCCTGAGGTAAACTGCCAAGTTCTGACTGAGTTGCCGTGGCTCTGCCCCTTGGCTTCACAGTTGAGTGACTGGGCACATTGAGAATCTCAGGCAGGGTTAGGAGGGCCTGAAGAATTGTGGAGGAGGGTCAATTACCCTGTAAAACTGATCAATCAACAGACAAGAACAGCAGTAGGCAATCTGGATTGCAGATGGCATTAGCCAGCTAGGACGGTCATAACAAAATACCGTAGATGGGTGGCTTAAACAACAGAGATTTACATCTTCGCAGTTCTGAGGCTGAGAGTCCAAGATCAAGGTGCCCACAGACTTAGTTTCTGGTGAGGCCTCTCTCTTTAGCTTACAGAAATAACCTTCTCCCTGTGTCCTCACGTGGCTTTTTCTTTATGCACGCTCATCTCCAGTGTGTCTCTGTGTGTCCAAATTTCCTATTTTATAAGGACATTGGCCAGACTGGATTAGTTCCCCACCTCATTTAACCTTAATCACCTCCTTAAAGATCCTATCTCCAAACACAGTTTACACTGGAGATTAGGAATTCAATACATGAATTTTAGGGGACAGGCTTCAGCCCATAACAGATTATTCAAAGCTCTCTTTGTCCCTCCTACAGCAGCCCCCACAGCAGTGGGCACAATCAGCTACAATCTGGGTGTCAGCCCCTCTGCAAGGATTGGGGACCAGATGCTCCCTCCCTGGAAGCCACATCAATGAGAGACCACTGCTGTACTGAGAATTCAATAAAGGCTTTTTACAGAACATTACTACAGCTCTTTTTACAGACTCCTACAGCGCTATACAACCCAACATTTACACGTAATTTTCACTTCAGCAAGATCTTTTAAATTTAAAATCTCAGCACAGTCGCTGAAGCCACAACTCCCTATCTAATCAAAGTTTCTATCGATGTTAAAAGTTGGTTGGTTTTTGTTTTGTTTTTGTTTTAGTCCTCAAAGCTGTCTGTGATTCTAGAGAGCTGTGTTCTTCCTATATACAAAACTGATTCCCCTGATCCCATCTCTAGAATAGTTTTTGCAATGAAAGACTGGTTTTGCAAGAAGATGCACATACCTTGGTAAACAAGCTCTTATGGAGGAGGAGGAGGTGGAGGAGGAGGAGGAGGAGGAGGAGGAGGAGGGGAGAAGGAAGAGAAACCCCGATTTGTACGGGTTTACCAATTTCCGTGGTATGAATACTTGCACCATAATAAATTTCAAGCTACTAATGATTTTAAAAATTGGCTTAGAAATTTCCAGAATATGTTACACCTGGATTTCACAAGCTGCCATGAGTCTGCCAGCACATCACTGCCTGTGTCTCTCATGATCGCAGAAGCCCATTTTATAGATTTTAATCTGGGTCAGGGGTAAAATCTGTGGTCTTGATCAAAATGAGGTCAACTAGCGCCACCAGGACTCAGTCTCAGCATCTTACTTCCATTCTCACCATGCTTTAAACCCTGAGCACAGGTCACAAATCCACATTCATCTAATACATGTTTTGGGTAAACCTCCCCATTTTAGAAGAACCACCCATTTGCTGGAAATTAGAGTCACCCGACTGGCCATGGGCATTTTCGTGGGATCTTGATCTGCGTGGAAAGTGAAGTCAGTCAAGTGCAAATCAGGGTTGGATTGATGGCAGGTGTAACAGCTGCACAAGCATGTGGTGCTTTGTCTGGAACTGAACATCTCTATTTTTCATTCACCAAAGGCTGTGGTGGCTTCAAGAGGTGCTTCCAGCCTGACCTCCTGCTGATGACATCCAAGTTCTCATTGGATCTTGAGCTACTGTCTCTACTCCATGTGTGTGAAAATGTGCAGGGAACTTTCATCCCAGAGGCAGAGTTGAGGCGTTCCAAGGGGGCAGGCCATCGAATGTTCAGAATCCCAAGTTCATGGTCAGGATGTGGTATTTCAGAGGCAAATGATGATCTGGGAGCAGACCTTGGAGAAAACTGGGCTTGGAGGTAACAACTCTACCAAATTAAATGTAAGTGGGAACTGCAGCAGGCATCTGACCTGGAACTGGAGGTTTCCGGAGCAGCTGGCGTGGTGAGGGAAGGACACACAGAATTGGAATTCCCCCATCCCCTTCTCTGACTGCTCCTGCTCCTACATCAAGCAAGCCTTGCTGGGAAGCAGGAGGAGGCAAATGCCCCTCATTCTCCTCCTGCCTCGAGGATATTCTCTTTCTCTCCCTTCCTCTGCAGTTCACTCTCCAGCTCATTCCCAGGTCCCGGGTGAGCTAGCCGAAGTGGTCATGATAATACTAATAAGCTGATTTGAAAGAAGAGTTTAGTTCATTGCGCCTTTGGGAAAGACCTCTGCTGGTGCTTGGCTAGGATAACAAGCTTCAGTGAAACTAACAGGGACACTAACTCACTCCACTGCTATATTCTTATTTTATATGCTGATGGTGCCAATAGTCACTACCATAAGTAGAATCTGCTTTTCCTCTGGCAGTGGAAAGGCTAAATTGTACATGGTATTTTCAGGGCCTTGTCTCCCTTCTAGGGCTTCTCTGAGTTCAGGGAAAGGCATTTGAAACGTCCGTAATGACTATCCTTTCTCTTACTCCCATGCTCTCTCTTTACTCATACCATTATTTTGAGGAATACGTGAAATTAAAATTGTTATGACTGAGCATCTACTATGTGCCAAATCCTCTGCTAGATATTTTTAAATATTATTTCCAAACCTAATAAAAACATCATGCCATTTTATAGATGAAGAAACAGACTCAGAGAAGCTAACAGATTTGCTCATAGCCAGTGACTGTTTAGATTTTAGCTCATGTCTTGTAAACTCCATTTTTAAAATTGTTATTTTATTTTTTTTAAGAAGTAAAACAGAATCGAGTCTCACTACGTTGTTCACGCTGGTCTCAAACTCCTAGGCTCAAACCATCCTCCCACCCTGGCCTCCTAAAGTGATGGGATTACAGGCATGAGACACCATGCCTGGCATTGTAAACTCTAAAGCTCACATTTTTCTACTACGCTACCATATTATATAAAACATTGCATCAGTCAGCACAAAATTAGGTTGCGCTGCAGTTATAGGCACCTCAAAACCTTGGTGGCTTACAACAACAGTTTTACTCCGTCCTCACGTGTAATGCATGATGCACATGCCTCATGGCTCACCTGGGAGATCGGTTCCCTAGTATGTCGGGACTCAGGCTGATGGCGGTGGAGCCATCAGACTGTTGCCAGTTCCCATGCTAGAGGGAGAGGGAGCTCTGGAGGATCTAAAACTATCAGCAAAATGCCCTGGCATTGAATTGGCACACATCACTTCTACCCACAACCCATTGGCCAGAATTTTACGTGACTCTTCCAAACCACAAGAAAGAGGAAGTGTAGTCCCCCCGGACAGCTGAGAATAAAGTACACGGCAAG